TGATGATAATGACGATCATTCTCACAGACATCCTTCCGCATAGTCACGAAGCTCATGCAGTGATGGAATTTGAAAATAATGGAACTTTCTCAGGTCACTATCTGAATAAGATTTCTTTGTGCTTCTATTCGATTATGATGTTCAAGATCTACCCAAAAAGTCAAACCATCTAAACCTCACAAAAAATTCATCTAAGCATCATTCTTATATCTCACACAGTAAGACCGTTTAGTTGAAGTGGCCTTTTTGAGTGACTCCTATACCACTTTGAAAAGCAATGAAAGATGGTTAACCTGTCTTCTTTGACTGCCAGCTTCTGGACGCCGAGTTATAAGTGTTTTTAAGGCGAAAAAGCGAATGCGCGACTAGAATAAAATCAGAATTGCTCAAATTATCCAGTGTTAACTATCGGAACACTTGTTTCAATAGGTTAGCTCCCGTCTAATTACTAGAGCGCTAAAAAGATGGTAACAGTCGATTTTACCTAGATGATGGCTCGGCGTCCGGAGGCGCTTGGCAGATAATGGAAACAGACTTGAAATCAGAAACGCTTAAACGCACTTCACAGCGGTAAGACTCACTTAAAAAGCCACTTCGAACGGACCTTCTTGACAGCTACCCTGACTTGATCGCGATTTATTTTTCCTACGCCAGAGACTGTGATTTGCAGATTTAGGGTTGCACGTATTCGTGCTCACAAAACAGATATATTAAGCGAGTATTTTCAAAGCTAGCCCTCCCCCTTCTCCCACAAAAACAAGCATAAAGGTCAAAGGTTGCTGCACAAATTCGTTCAGGGAAGAGTTACTATATCAAGTCATATACTTAAGAAATGAAACTTCCGTTTTTAAAAGAGCCACATATAAACAAACTGGAAAAAACTGATATGGCAAATTTTTTTGGCAGGAAAGCGAGCTCACGTGTGACGCGTGCTCACAAAGCTTGAAAGCTGGAAAAAGCACAACTCAAGAAAAACGCATTCTCCGGTGTATTGCGGGCCTCCCTATACCGAAGCTTATATTATAACTTTAAAACTACAAAGTTACAAAGCAGTAAAAAAA